CTTGGGGGGAGAAAAGCTAGGCTTGTTCCCAGCTAGATAAATATTCTTTCTTAAATAAAAATAACTGCTCTGTTAGTTTATACTGGTGGAGTGTAAATGTCAGAAGTCAGCAGTTTTTCCCCCCTGACCGATTTGTCTCTGGGTTTACAGCAGTTTAAGAAGTAGAAGAAAGTAATTGTGCATTTTATTGTTCTGTTGTTGTTGTCCAGTTCAGAAGTTTAATTCACTGTCTGGGATTTTTTTATGAAGTTGGATACCATTCCTTTTGGTAATTCTAGCAAAAGTTGCATTAAAAAGGTGAGGATCTGTTGTACTTTGTGGTAAGTAACATTATCCTAAACAGTAATGCTTGTGGTTCATATTTAATTATTGAAGTTATCTTCAATAACTTCAATTGAAGATAACTTCTACAAGATCTTCTTCTTGTAGAAGATAACAAGAATATCTTCTTCAATTGAAGTTATTTTCTACAGTTGCATCTGCAAATTAGGAAATTTCATGCTGGTTTTATTTCAGCTACATGCCTCCAGGTTTGATTTTGTTGTTTTTTACTAACAAGTTAATCTTTATCTTCTTACTCTGAACTTTTTTTTGTCCATCTGTGTAGCACAAGCAGGAAGTTGCTCAGCTGACTTCCTGTAACATATTAAGTGATTAGTTTTACTGATCAGCAGATTCCTTAAGTAAACTGGACGTCGACTTTCCTTGCAGTTGCTTACAAATAGAAAATGCTGAAGGAGATTGTGCTCTTTTTTTTTGTGCTCAAAGCAGTTTGTGATATTTTTAGCTGTGTTATCAGTTTTAGCAAAGAGAGGCAGAATGTCCTACCGCGGTCCAAATACAGTATGAATCCAGTTTAGTTAAAAATGTTTACAATGTTAACATGTTTTATGTCCAGTTCGCTATACACAAAAGACGGGCTTATTTCAGATCTGATTATGTTCAACTTAACTAAAAAAAATACTAAACCAATAATAATTCAGTCATATAGTCCAATATTCTGATTCCCTGAAGTCTGATTCCCTCTTAAATAAAATGTAGTACAGTCAACTCAAGCCTTATGCTTGGATATAAGTAGATATAACCAATCTATACACTCCTGTCAAGAAGCCAGGTTTTTATGTCAAAAATATAAGACCCTAGATAAATCATGTAAGAACTTTCCAGCTTTAATACGTCCTGCAACTCGTCAAGTCAGCATTTTCAATTGGATTCAGGGCTAGGGTTTTTTTTATTTTTTTACATTTGGTGATGAGAAATCTTGCAATTAATACCCCTGTTTGCTTTTGTAAAGATAGGAATATTAAGACTTGTGCTCCTCTACCTACAAGAATTCAGTAGGAACCTGGTTGTAGATGTATACACATATATTTTTAAAGATTTTCTTATTTCTCTTTTGAATATTTTAAGCACTGCTGAAATAAGTGCTATACGACAGGAGGGAGGCACAGGAGTGGCGCAGTGGCATGGATAATCCTCGGAAATGTTATTCAGCCTTAAACACACTGGAGAGTCATGATGTGAACATTCTTCCCATTTGATTATGGAACGGCAAGATACAAGATGAAGCCCTGAATGTAATTTATTATAGAAATGAATTATGTTGCCATCTTTTATTGATTTTCATTTTTGCATCTCTAGTGTGTCAGTCTGGTTGTAGCTTGTTTTGGCCTTTTACACAAAAATCCTGTAAAGAAGTGCAGGCTGGTGTGTTAGTGTGTGTAATGGCTAAATGCATCCATGGTCCATTACCTCACTGCTGTACATACTGGATCTTAGTGGCAACAGAACTCTACCAATTCACCTGAAAAGCATTTTTAGAGTCCCTCGCCAAGGCTTTAAAGTGACTGTGGAGTGCAGTAAAATAGCTTATAGCTGCAGGCTTTTAGTGACACCAAGGGTTCCTTACATCAGAATAAGGTTATAGCACAAAAGGAAAGGATCGAAGGAAAACTTAACCTACTTTCTGACTAATTGAGTGAATCATCTGATCATTTCTTTTTCAGGAGATAAGTTGATCCTTAACTACAGGAATGAAGTAGACTGCAACATCACTGCTAAAGTAAAGGATTTGAAACACTGAATTCCACACCCTCGATCCTAACAGACATGCACTATAAAAGACAGGAGCACATAAAATGACAGATACAGTAAATAGAACTCAGTTGCATTTGGTGTGCACTGATGCATATGAACTATGATGCACCATGTTTTGGACAAATCCAGCTTAATTCCACACGTGGGAGAATTTTGGAAACTTCCGGGGAGCAACAAAGGATGCCTTTCTAATTTCAGTCGATATGCTTCATCCAGACCAGTCTGTCTTCTTGTATGTTCATTTCTATTAATAAATTCCCATCATAGGGAGACACTTGACTCAAATATATTGATACCTGCAGTGGTTAATTTCTATAGTGGCCTCATGTTATGAGGCAGCTGATAAATTAGTTGTATAACACCGTTCGATGCTTTGAAATGAATCCTATTGGATCAGAATGTTGTCACGACGCTGAAAAACGGGGAAGAAGAAATGTCTGCAAACAGAGCGTTAGGAAAACATGCCTATAATCCACTGCCATGAAATCTGCAAACAGTCTCGCAGTTGGATTTGTCAGACTACAAACCACACACATACTGTGCCTTCATATGGTGTTGGATGTCATTTCTTTGTGCAGCTCCCACTTTTCTCTGCAGCCTTTAAACAAGGATTTCATAAGGGTGACATGTCTTGCCTATACTCCAAATTTCTGCCACTCGGGCCCCCACCCTACCCGCCCTCAGCCTATCAGAGGCTTTCTGCAACAATATGGGCTTCTTTTCTTCCTCTTCCTTCCATCTCTGTCTACACAATCTGATTGTAGCTGCGTTGAAAGTACCGTTTTCTTCCTATCACAACATCACTTGTTCTTATTTCCTTCTACCCTCCCACCACCCCTGTTTTTATTTTTTATTTTTTTCTGCTCTGTCCACTAAGCAGAAAATGGGTCCAGGCGCCGTTTCAGGCTGTTTATACATATATATTTTCTGCTATCTATCTTTATAATTGACCAGTGAGGGGAAATGTGACTGTGATCAGTGTGATGCTAATACATTCTGCCAATTTGACACACTCATAATCCAGCAAGCTTGAGTTTCCAGCCTACAGCCATCACACGGAGAAGAGTGTGTGTTGTCGTTGGTGCATCGTAGCATCATGGATACACAGAGGAGTGGGAGGGTGGGGGAAACACTCGAGCTAAAATGGGACTCTGGAGTGTTTGAGTGGGAGCAGAGAAAGAGGAAATTGGTCTTAACATGCACAGACGCATGATATAAAGTGAGAGACGTATGGATGGAGAGAGAATGTAACCAAACAGCAGTTGTTCTGTGTGCTGCTGTTTGCTCTGGTTGTGAGAGTAAAATACACCTTGAGGACGAGTAGCAGAGGATCGACTGATTTCTGGCATGAAGGTGTATTTACTGATGACAAAATACCAGAATATAGAAAGTATGACAGAGGTTCTGTATTTTATTTTTTTTAATGTGAACATTCAAACAAGTATTTACACCCTGACAAATTACTTCTTGTTGCTTTTTTTTTGTTACACCTATAGGTCTTACGTCAACCTAAATTTGTCAAAAATGGCAGTTAAATGATTATTCCCATTAATGAAAATTAGCTTTAAAACCAATGGGAGTTTTAGGAAAAAATAATGCTATTGGTATCATCTGGCTGTTGTTCAGTGTGGTGGTGTGTGGATTGTATGATGCAATAAGTGTTGCTCTTGCAGTTTTGTGAAATGCATCTTTTTTTGATACGGTTAAAATAAAGTTTTTATTGAGAAACGTGAGTTTTTTAAAAATTGGTTTTTCTATCAAGTTAATTTATTTTTGCACTTTCAATTTGTGCAATTTTATGCTTAATGAAAATGCAGCTGAAGACGAGTTGAATGGCTGAATTGGCATGTTTAAGGCTGGGCTGTAAAAGTTGACATAATGGATAAAGAAGTTAAGGTTCTCATCAGGTTGCATTTTTTAAGGCTATTTTAATGGGAGGTGAGCTCTGGGGCACAAATGACACTTGCTAGAATATGTACATATATATTTCGCTTTTGTTCTTGGAACTGCTTGGGATCCCTCAGAAGTAGTGTTTCACTTCAGGGAGAGATATCTGGGTTTTGCTCTGGGACTTGTTACCAATACATGCAACCTGATCTCTGATGAGCAGAAATTGATAAGTGGATGGACAGGAATGCATATCAAGCGACCATGTGGCAAGTCATAAATGGTGTGTGGGATTTATTCCTCATCCATAAAACAAAACCAAAAAAAAACCCCAAACTGTTTATTTCCAGTTCTGCTTGAAGAATTATTGCCTTTCTTCCACACACCCCACTATGCTGAGATTACCTTATGCTTTCTAATTTGCCTCCTAAATGAGATAAACTGTGGAGTCTATGTGGCAATGTATAAATTGTCAGAAATGAGATTATTACATAAGGTTGGCAACTATAAGCAGTTCTTCTGTCTCTTAGCACATGCAGCACACAGCCTCCTCAGATACGCTGCCAGACGTTTCCAGATGGGATGAAGGATTGTCTGAGTCACTCTGAACATTTGCATAGCGCTTTGGAAAGCGTTGCCAGAAACGAGAGCACAAAACTTCAAATGTTGACGAAGTCGCTGCGCAAACAGGCATGACTAAAACATGGTGTCAGTACTGAAAATACAGAAAAGGTTTTCTCACATCCTTAGTTAATATGAGGAAACTTGCAAAATGGTACAGGTGGTGTGATTACTCAGAGGAGTCACTGCGACACAAGCGCACACAATGGTTTCATTAGCGCCACAGTGGAAGAGGAGGGAAAACTGTGGTAGCTCTCGTTAAAGGGAGAACCGCTCTCTGCAGCTCTGGTTTCTGGTTTCTTCTGCAAGGTGGAGGTTTGGGGAGGCTAATTCTGCTTGGGGCACATGTGCAGAGTGGAGATACAGCACGAGAGGGAAGTGGAGGGAGAGATAGAGCTGGTTCATTTTCAGCTCGTCCCCGTAGACTGTGGAACGGATTATACTCGCAGAGAGAGAGGGAGGGAGATGCATAGGCACTGTCTTAGCACACACTGAATACCCTGCCTCCAATCCTCTACACTGCACCGTGCACTCACTCCGCTCTCTTTCCTCCATCACACACTACTGTGCAGACACAAACACACCACTGCCATGTAGAATCTCGGCCAGAAGGGGACACCAACCTGCCCGGGACCAGGAGCCAGGTATGCCTCATCCATCTATTCATCGGTTCATACTTACTTCGGTTCATTTCTGCTTAAAAAAGAATCACAAGGCACTTGGTGAATTCCTTTCTTTCTTTTTTTTGGGGGGGGGGGTCGTTGCTTTAGGGATCCAGCACTTCGCCCTCTGCAGAATATTCTTGCTGTCTGCATGCACCAAGATTATCCTGCTTCTTTGCACAGCCCCCAGAGAACTCCCCCCCCCCCCCCACCGCAATAAAAAAAAAAATAGGAGAGGGGAAGGGAGGCACCCAAAGAAGT